TCCCCTAACCGAGAACTCGGCTTTTGGTTTAAGAGTTATGAGATACGTTATATTAGCAATTTTTTGTATAGAACAGAAGGTAAGGTTGTTCCTTACAAAATTATATAAAAATAAAAAGTTTGAGAACCAATTTTCAGACTTAGACAAAACCGGTTCATAGCTCTTAAATAATGTTGTTAAATTACTTTTCAATAACTTGTTTGTAAATCCAATGATAAATTCAAAGAAGAATCTATAAAATATATGCTTCTATAAAGGTGACCAAAAGAAACAATACGTGCTTGTACCTGGTGGTGCTGGTTTTATTGGTAATCATTGTGTTATTGAATTGATTACAGCTGGTTATACACCAATTGTAGTAGATAATGAACATAATTCATCAGCAGGTGAAATTAAAAAAATATCAAATAGAAAATTCGATTCTATTTAGAAAAAATTTCTTTTTTAGAATGTTTAAAACGTGTTGAACAAAGTACTGAATGTCAAATAATTAATTATAAAATTGACTGTCTTGATCTTGAAAATTTACGAAATATTTTTAAAAAATATTTAATTTATACAATAATCAATTGTGCTGCACTTAAATCAGTTGGTGAATCAGTACAAAAACCAATTTTATATTATAAAAATAATATTGGGTTGTTTACTTAATTTACTTACAGTAATTGTTTTCTAATTATTAAATAAAAATATATTTATTTGAATATTATTTAGTGTATGGAAGAATTTAATGCTAAAAATTTTCTTTTTTCATCATCAGCTACTGTCTAAGGTACACCAAAATATTTACCACTTGATGAAAAACATTCATGTATTGGTGATGCTATTACTAATCCATATAGTAAAAGTAAATATATATGTGAACATATTCTTAAAGATACAATAGTTGCTCATCCTGTTCGTATTTTAAAATTAAAATAATCTATTTTTTTTTGTTGTTAATTTATTTAGGAATGGAATATCATTCTTTTACGTTATTTTAATCCTGTTGGTGCTCATAAAACAGGTTTAATTGGTGAAGATCCTATTGGTAAACCAAATAATCTTATGCCATATATTGCACAAGTAGCTGTTGGTCGTTTACCATATGTTAATATTTTTGGTACTGATTATGATACTCTAGATGGTACAGGTAAACATAAGCAAATAAATATAATTTATCTTCTTATCATTAAAAAACTATTGAATTTGTATAGGTGTTCGAGATTATATACATGTTGTTGATGTAGCTATAGGTCATATTGCAGCAATGAAACAATTTGAAATGAATTGTGGTTTAAAAGTTAGTAATAGATAAGGATTTAAATTTAATTTTTTTCTTTCTTATTTAGATTTATAATCTTGGTACTGGTAAAGGTTATTCTGTATTAGAAATGATTAAAGCATTAGAAAAAGCATCAAGCAAAACAATGTCTTATAAAGAATGTTCTCGACGTCCAGGTGATCTTGCAACTGTTTGTTTATGCTGATCCAACATTAGCAGCTCAAGAACTTGGATGGACAGCTCAACGAAATTTAGATGAAATGTGTAAATAAGTTTTTATTTTTAAGTACAGATTTAAAATTATATTTTTCTTTTATAGGCGAAGATTTATGGCGTGGGCAATCGAATAATCCAAATGGATTTCAATAGAATCTTATACATAGTATTAATTTAATACATCTGTAGAAGTTAAATTAAAAAAAAAAAAGAGAATCTCTTTCTATTTATAAACGCATTTAGTCAATATTTACATCTACTTATTTATGATGTTTTAGATGAGTAATATTTACATTCAAGAGCCAGCTACTCGTGGCAAAGTTGTTTTAGATACAACTGTTGGTGATATTGAAATTGTACGGAATTTTGTGTCTTTCTTTTTTTACAAACGGCACTACAAAAGTTTTGTTGTCATCAAGTCTTAGTTCTAGATGTTCGATCAACATATAATTTCATATGATTTTGTACACCGAATCCCTTTAGTCTTCTTATTTTGTATTTTTAATAACTAGAACATTGAACTTATTACGAAACATCTAATCTCAATTGTAACATGTTCACATATGTAACTAATCGGAATGAAATATAAGAATAAGATACTTTAGAAAGTTTAGAAGTTCAACAATTGATCTCAATGTACAACATTTAGGAAAGTCGGACGAATAAAAAAAACACACTTTTGTAGTGCCCTATTTAATAAATGTGAAATAGTAATATGGTTTTTATTTTTTTTTTAGGAACTTTTCTCTAAAGAATGTCCATTAGCATGTCGAAATTTTGTTCAATTATGTATGGATTGTTATTATGATGGTACAGTTTTTCATCGAGTTGTACCAAATTTTATTGCACAAGGTGGTGATCCAACTGGAACAGGTGAAGAAGGTGAATCATCAACTAGTGAATTCTTTGCAGTAAATCATAAATTAAATTTTATTTTATTTTGTTTCTATATAAAAAAAAAACTTTAGGATGAATTTCATACACGTTTACGTTTTAATCGTCGTGGTCTAGTTGGTATGGTAAATCAAGGACCAAATACTAATGCTAGTCAATTCTTTTTACTTTGGGTAGTACTCCAGAACTTGATAAAAAGAATACATTA